GGTGGCTAGGGGCTGTGCAGGGAGGGGGTAGCTCAGGTGCAGGGAGGGAGCAGATCTTTGCAGGGGGTGGCTAGGGGCTGTGCAGGGAGGGGGTAGCTCAGGTGCAGGGAGGGAGCAGATCTTTGCAGGGGGTGGCTAGGGGCTCTCTGCCAGGAGGGGGTGGCTCGGGGCAGGGCAGGCGGGGGAGTAGCTAGGGGCTGTGCAGGGAGGGGGTAGCTCGGGTGCAGGGAGAGGGCAGATCTTTGCAGGCGGTGGTAGCTAGGGGCTCTCTGCCGGGAGGGCTCCCCTGTCCCCTGCGGTCCCTGTTCCCCGAGGGCTCTGCCAGCCCTGGAGCTGGGTCTCCCCCCCCACCCCCCCGGTGGCTCTTACTGGCTGCGGGAGCAAAGGGAGCTGAGGAGCAGGGTCCCGGCTCCGCGGCACCAGCCAGAGCAGCGGCCGCTGTCCCGCCCTGTCGGGCTCTGGCTTCCGACCTGGCCAGGGGGCGGGAGGGGAGAGAAGGGGGTGGAGCTGCTCCAGGACTGTCCTGCTCTTGCACTGTAGTTGTGGGGGGGGGAACACCCCCAGGTCCCCTCAACTCTGCCCAGGGGCTCAGGGCTTCTGCCCGTGGGGAGCGCCGGGGCTCCGGAATTCAGCCCTGCTGCTCCCGGCTTCAGTCCTGCAGCAGGTGCTGGGGCTCAGGCTCTGGGTTTTAGCCACGGGGTCCCGTGGACCCCCTGAAAGGGTTTGTGGACCAACAGGGGGTTGTGGACCCCTGTTTGAGAACGACTGGCCTGGATAATGCGCAGTGCTGCCTCAGTGCAGGGGACTGGACTGGGTAACCTCTCGAGGTCCCTTCCAGTCCTACGGCTGTGTGATTCAGCACGGCTTGAACAGCACCCTCAGCACAGCCGTGACAGTAAAGTCTCTTACTTAACACACTCTCCCCTGTAGAATCAGAGAGTCTCAGGGTTGGAAGGGACCTCAGGAGGTATCTAGTCCAACCCCCTGCTCAAAGCAGGACCAACCCCAACTAAATCATCCCAGCCAGGGCTTTGTCAAGCCTGACCTTAAAAACCTCTAAGGATGGAGATTCCACCACCTCCCTAGGGAACCCATTCCAGTGCTTCACCACCCTCCTAGTGAAAAAGTTTTTCCTAATATCCAACCTAGACCTCCCCCACTGCAACTTGAGACCATTGCTCCTTGTTCTGTCATCTGCCACCACTGAGAACAGCCGAGCTCCATCCTCTTTGGAACCCCCCTTCAGGTAGTTGAAAGCAGCTATCAAATCCCCCCTCTTCTCTTCTGCAGACTGAACAATCCCAGTTCCCTCAGCCTCTCCTCATAAGTCATGTGCTCCAGACCCCTAATCATTTTTGTTGCCCTCCGCTGGACTCTCCAATTTTTCCACATCCTTCTTGTAGTGTGGGGCCCAAAACTGGACACAGTACTCCAGATGAGGCCTCACCAATGTCGAATAGAGGGGAATGATCACGTCCCTCGATCTGCTGGCAATGCCACTATTATACAGCCCAAAATGCCATTAGCCTTCTTGGCAACAAGGGCACACAGTTGACTCATATCCAGCTTCTCGTTCACTGTAACCCCTAGGTCCTTTTCTGCAGAACTGATGCCTAGCCATTCGGTCCCTAGTCTAGCAGTGCATGGGATTCTTCCATCCTAAAGGGCAGGGCTCTGCACTTATCCTTGTTGAACCTCATCCGGTTTCTTTTGGCCCAATCCTCTGATTTGTCTAGGTCCCTCTGTATCCTATCCCGACCCTCCAGCGTATCTACCACTCCTCCCAGTTTAGTGTCATCTGCGAACTTGCTGAGAGTGCAGTCCACACCATCCTCCAGATCATTAATGAAGATATTGAACAAAACCGACCCCTGGGGAACTCCACTTGATACCGGCTGCCAACTAGACATGGAGCCATTGATCACTACCCGTTGAGCCCGACGATCTAGCCAGCTTTCTATCCACCTGATAGTCCATTTTTGGATTCTGAGTCTGCTCCCCAGGGAGGGGTGTAGCCTGCTTGCTTGCCTGTATAGATCTTTTCCTATGGTTTTATTTGTTTTATTATAACAGATTTATAGGTGGTTGTTATTAAAGTAGTTTGGCTGTGACGCAAGGGCCCTACAGGCCACATCCTGTAGGTTGAGCTGAGGGTTAGGGTTAGCAGACGTGTCTGGGATCTTTCACCCAGATCGATAGTGATGAGTTAAAGCAGAAGGTCCGTGTATGGTGTGCCCTTTAACATAGGTAAAGGATGTGCTGAAGCAGGTTGGCACAGGGGGCTTCCGAAGTTCATACCCTTTTAAACTTACCAGGTACCCCACAAGGAAAGAGCCAAAATAACCCCTTAGGACAGAAATAAGTGATGTGAGAACAAGCTAAAGTCATGAATGTGTGTATGCGTTGTCAGTATGTACAAACAGAGCCGCCTATGGAGTAAGTGCACCCCAGCAGTTTGTGGGTGAGGAAACCACGTTTGGACATAGGAGGGCCTGATGTTCAAGCTCTGTAAGAGGGAAGGTAGCTTCTGAGCTTCTAAGTTCCAGTTTTGCTGAGCGCCAAAGCTTCTGAGTTTCAGGCTCCTTTGTTTGTCTGTTAGGCTGAAGTGTAAGTTTTAAGTCAGGTCAGACTCTCGATAACTCTTAGCTCTCTTGCTTCTCCCACTCGAGAACTGAGGAACCTGGACCTGAGCTCTCTTGGCATGCCAGAGGTGAGGCTGGTCCTTGGTCTCTCACCACCAGGTTATCAAGGAAGGGTGTGAGTATATTAACCAAAGCTTTCTAGTGCACAATATCACATGTATCTGTAGAGCAGTATTACTGCATTTGTAACTGATTCGTTTACCATTGGATTGCTGTTTGATTGTTATTCCATTTATCTCAATAAAAGTCTTTAAGGCTACATCTGTCTCAGTGTGAGAGTTCTTGTCATACCCCCAAGGGTCCTTTGCAAACTGCGTAGCCTGATTCTGGGACAAGAACCGTATTATCTTCTGTCAGATGAATTGACGAGCTTATCACCGATACTAGCCAAATTAATATTAACCCCTTAAAAGCAGGCCCCAGGGGAATGGAGCCACTGGCCTCTCTGGGAGTTGCTGGTTCAGGCACTCCAGCTGGCACGAGTCACATTTCCAAGGCTCTTTTCACAGCCAGGCGGGCAAGAAACATCCCCCTTTTTTAAATGAAAGCTGAGAGCCTTAGAGATTCTTGTGATCATCTCCTCTGACCCCCTGTGTACCACGGGCCAGAGCCCTGCCCCACATCATTCCTAGAGCAGTTAGAGAAACATCCAGCCCGGAGTTAACAAGTGCCAGTGATGGAGAACCCACCCCGCCCCAGGTGAATCGTTCCTGTGGGTAGCTACTCTCTCAGTTAACAATTTACATCTTATTTCCAGTCTGAATTTGTCTAGCCTCAAATTCCAGCCATTGGATGGTGTTACACCTTTCTCTGCTAGATTGCAGAGCCTGGTATTAAATATTTGTTCCCTGTATTGGTACTTTACACTGTAATCAAGTCACCCTGAACCTTCTCTTTGTTAAGCTAAATTGAGTTCATCAAGTCTATCACTCTAAGGCAGTAGTGCCCAAACTTTTCCCATCACGCCTTCCCTTACCAGTAATGGAATCTGTCCCCCTCCCCCCCCCCATTTCCGCAGTTTGCTCACAGGGAGGCGGGGGGGGGGGCAGCTCAGAGCCAAGCAATGACAGAGTTGGGAGGGGATGTGGCACATCCACTATCCAGAACAGCCCCTGAGCTCTGCTGACGCTGCCTCCTCATGCTCCACAGAGCCTGGCCCTGCTGCTGCCGGAGCTTGGCCCAGACCATCCCGGCCTCTGACGCCGTGACTCCAGCCAGGTGGGGTCTCAGGCCTCGCTGCC